GAAGGTTCTGAATTGTTCTACCAAAGTTTGGTTAATACTTGGCTGCTATTCATTTATTTAATATTTTTTTTTTTTACTATAGTACAAACTATGTTGACCTCATCTTATACAGGTGAAACTCGAATAATTAGAATATCGTGCAAAAGTAATTACAGTATGTGCTGCAAAAGGGGCCCAAACCAAGTACTGAGTACATATGCATGCTTGTACTTTTCAGAGGTCCGATATTGTTCTATGTACAATCCTTGTTTTATTGATTGCATGTAATAATCTACTTTTTTGAGGTTGTGGATTTGGGGTTCTTGGGGTTTTCATGAGCTGTAAGCCATAATCATCACAATTATGACAAATCACGGCTTGAACTATCTTGCTTTGCATGTAATGAGTCTATCTCATATATTAGTTTCACCTTTTAAGTTGCATTAGTGAAATAAATGAACTTTGCACGATATTCTAATTATTCGAGTTTCACCTGTAGTGACACTAAAATCGTGAGTTAAATCTTGATGATACATTCAAGCACCCCAACTACCTTGTTTCCCCGAAAATAAGACACTGTCTTATATTTTTTTTGCCCCAAAAAAGGGGCAATCTGTAAAGCAGATTCCTTTGTTTCACAGGCGGAGTGCATCTGGTATCACGCTACCTGTCAAGGTAACCGGCGCTATAGACGAAGTAGCTGCTAATGCAGCTCTGCTCCCTCCGCTGCCGCAGCCTTGCTTTCTACAGCTTCCTTTGCTATCAGGGACATCGGTATCAGCGGTGCAGCAGTGGGGACATCACACAGTGGACAGCGAGGTTATAGTACATGCTACCGCCAAACTAGGTCTTATTTTCGGGGTAGGTCTTATTTGCGGGGAAACACGGTATTACCAAAAATGTATCTTATTTGTGTATCACAGTGCTGTAGGTTCTTAAACCATCTCTGAATTGGTGATGACACTGTCCTTCCTTCTGGAGGGGGGCAACTTTTGTTCCCCATGGTTCCTGTGTGTGTTGTAAAGTAGTCACCGCTCCAAGCTCACTCCCGTGATGGACTACAATCTCATTTTTAGTTTACCAATGTGTATTGAGATTGTAGTCCATCACGGGAGCGTGCTTGGAGCGGTGACTACTTTACGCTTAAAAAAAATAAAAAAAATGACAATTTGTTCTTTAGAAATGTCAGTTTTGCTGCAGCAGGTTCTATACATCGTACAGATTTCCCACTTTACAGGTAGTTTAAGGGGATCCCCCAGGCATGATATTTAAAGGAATATTTTATTTTTATTGTTACCCTTTAAGTGATGTTAAAAATCGCTGATAGCAATGAGGTAAAAAAAATTAAATTAAATAAAATTAAAAAATTAAAAATTCCCCTCCAAAAAACTGAAAGTCCCTCAACCTTGCAAACGCACGTATTAACGGAAACACAAGTCGAGTGCACTTACATAGAAAATGACAGTTGCGCAACACATGTCAGGTATTGCTGCGTATTTTGTTATATATTAAGTATTTTTTTTCTGATTAATGGAAAAATAATCGGCGAACTAATTGATTATGAAAATATTCGTTAGTTGCAACCCCTGATCTCTTGTAGCATGCCTGCAGTTTCTGACTATCTCTTTTAGCATGTCTTTAGTCTCTCTGATCATCTCCTGTTGTATTCCTACAGTTTCTGACTATCTCTGGTAGCATGTCTACAGCCTCTAATCCAGTGGCGTCACAAGGGAGGGTGTGGCCCGCACCGGGTGACAGCTTTGCAGGGGTGACACCTTTGCAGGGGTGTCACGCCCTCTAAAAAGTCAGGCACTCGGTCATGGAATGAGAGCCCGACAGTGTCAGGAGAGAGGAGGGGACCCGGCAGCATACCTCATCCCGCCGGGTGAACGTCCCCTCCTCTCTCTGCCGGCGTCCATCACCAAGATGGCCACCATCAGGTGTCAATCAGGTGGCCGCACCTGCGCGATGATGGCACGGCGGGGTGTTACCCGATCTGGAGACCGGGTGACACCAGGCCTCGGGACGCCCCTGCTCTAATCATCTCCTGTTGCATGTCTGTAGTCTCCGACAGCTTTCGGTAGCATTAAATTCACTGAATATAAGAAGGTCATGCCAGGGGTTGCACCTGATGCCCTTTACATCAAATAGGTTGACCACCCCTGTTCTTATGTCTATGGGCAGCCAGTATCTTGTGTGTATATAACAAACTTTTTGTTTTGTTTTGTTTATTTAACCAAAGCTAGCTTTATTTTTATCTCCTGAGGACGTGATAAATACCCTTCACTGATCCTCTACGTAGAACACAGTAGGTGCTGCTTTCATTACTGACTCATTAGAAGATTACATTGCACTACTGAGAAACAACAGCAGGGATTTCCACATCAGGAGCTGTGTAAAAACGCATTATTATTTAATGTTTACTCATAATAGGAAATTACCTGGAGGGTTAACACCAGGCCACGTGTCTGCCATGATGCAGTGCTGTTTATCTACAGGCAAATGAAGCGCAAGCAAAACTCCCCAGAGTCCGCCGTTCCTTAATATGCAAATGTAGACAGCAAGAGCCCTGGGTACAGACACGACTTTCTCATTAAGCAAATTAGGAAATATCTGAGGGTGTAAGCAGACGGAATAGACTTCATTTCCAGATGATCTGTGTAATGATTGTAGTTTTCTATTGTCATATTTGTCACTGCACTTCAATATAAAAGGTTTTCAATTAAATGTAACCTGTCAAGATAGAAATAAGCAAGCTGCCTGAACTTCAGTCAAATTGCTAAATACACCATTGAAAATCATGCACGCTGTCTTAACAGCCGTGGAATTTGTAACTCTGTTAGGCCAGTCATTCAGACAGGGCCGGTTTCCCACAAGGCCAACCGAGGCCCGGTCTTGGGGCAGCAGGGAGTAGAGGGGCAGCAGAGGTGTGGAATTCCTATCTCCCGATGCCCAGGACACGCAATTCCGGGCGCTGGATGGGTAGTTGTTTTCTACATGTAGCCCTGCTTTGGGCAAGCAGAGCTAAATGTACAGAGGGGAAGCCTCCACTTGTTTTGTACAAGTGATCTCGGTGATGTTGCAGAGATCACTTGTATGCAGCCTGCATACAGGGGGGCCCAATGAGGAACCTGGCATTCGGGCAGCAGAGAGAGTGAATCCGGCCCTGCATTCAGGCACTCTTGTAGGGGATACATCTTGTCTCCGGTTAGCCTGGGTTGGCCTTTCTGTCTCCTTGCTGGGTATAAATGGGGGGTAGAGATGCTAGATGGGCACCCAGGAAGAGTAGAGCAATGGTGTGTTACAACATGAGGTAAGAGAAGGGCCTATGCCAGTTTTTGGGAAAATTATCCTTAAAAGTGCAGCTCAGGGCCGTCCCTATGATGTTCCCTCAGGTGGCATCTCTTTGGCACATGGGGGAGGTGGCAGGCAGATAAGCATGGCTGCTCTAATGCACAATGTTAGCAGTGTGTCTGCTGCCCCCTTTCTGGCCAGAGCTTCTCAGGTTGCTAAAAGCCATACACAACTCCCCGCCTAGCACTTAACAACCTAGGATACTCTGGCAGGCGTCCTGCCCAGCTCCTGGCAACCAGTACCGTATACTGTATATCTATTGAACATTACACAGATGGTAAAACAAAAAAAAAGATGGGTTTTAGCTATTACATATTTTATTCAAAATGAAAAAAATGGACATGTCTAAGGACTGATAATCTGCAAAATATTACATTTTTGTTTTTGGGTTTAGAAATGCTTTAATCTCAGGTAGAAGCCAAGTCTCCATATACAGCCTTGGCCTAAAATCTAAAGGACACCAAAGAATAGAAGGCTCAGTTTTAAAGCTAATACAGGGCACAGTTAGGCCAGATCACACATCTTACTTTGTTTCTATTGCATGACATGTTATCTTTAGGGTGGCTTCTAATGTTCATCTCAGCATTCATATTGTGCACCTGAGTGCCCAACTCACTAAATCCAATAGTTGCCAGACAGCGTGGCCAAGTTGATGACCTCACTTCTCTCTACTTTTAGAAAATACACCTTGGTCAAGAACCCACCCCCAAGTTACTTTTTGGATAATGAAGGAGCACCACTAGACTACGGTCATTCCTATGTGCTCCTTACTTGTAAGCATGGTAACAGTCTACATTTAAAATAAATCTCACATCCCAAAACATTTTTAAAGTAACAACGCTGCCCCACTCACTAATTCCCATAGATGGCAGCATCTTTATTTTTTAAATGGCCCTGGATCTAAACATGAGAAAATGCAGAAGACGTGTTATATAGTTCAAGGCTCTGCCCACTCTCTTAAGCTGGCCATACACCTATAGATTATCTGCAGATTTTCTATGGTCAGATGAAAAAAGTGCAACAGATTCCTCCATCTATGCTAAACTGTGTGGATGGAGGAATCTCCCACTGGGCCAAGCTTCAGTATCTTGCTAGTCGGCCCTGCTGGCTCTCAAAATCCCTGAACAATGCCTGCATCCAATCAGATTGTTCAGATATATTGAGAGCCAGCGGGGCCGACTAGCAAGATATTGAAGCTTGGCCCAGTGGGAGATTCCTCCATCCACACAGTTTAGCATAGATGGAGGAATCTGTTGCACTTTTTCCATCTGACCATAGAAAATCTGCAGATAATCTATAGGTGTATGGCCAGCTTTAGTCCTAACATGAAGATTTTATTTTTCCTAAGCAAACAATTTCATAATATATTATTGATGTTAAACAATCATACCTCTACACACCTTTCCATTCACTGGTTTATTAATAATTACCAATTGTTTGTTAAGTGCTGCTTAATACCAGTAACCTGCTTGGCAGATGGGTGCTCAAAATTTATTATGGAAAATCAGCTAAGCATGGCATATTTAGACATATTTCAAAGCTTCTGTCCAAAGAATAAAATTCCTCTTTATGGCAAATGTAGAGTTCTTTGGGTTCCTGATTTAAGTAAAACAAAGCATGTACGATCTGAGCTTAAGTGTTAAAGGGTATTCACACTTGCATTCTCCATAAAATCATCTTGATATAAGAGTTGTTTGTTCATCAGTACTTAACAAAGAATCTTCAACATCCTCTGTAGTGGAGCCCTTTAGTGCTTTAATAAGTTTAGCCCAAAAAAGTTTTTGTGCCTCAGGCTCTTTAGGCCATTGAATGTATGTCTTTTTCAGCATCACTTTCCTCATTCTGTGGTAGGTAGAGAGCTCCCTGTCCGGAATGTTCTCCAAACATATCAGGACAAGAACATCCCTCATTTCATCAAACAGTTTATAACTAGCCAGCTGCATCTCCAAAGAGCACCATTCACTTTTAAGGTAGCTCCTGCTCACCACACAGAGAGTTTTTCGACTACTGTGAATACTCTCCACGATGTTGTCTATGATGTACCTGCCCAACTGAAAGTCTCGATGGTGAAGACAAAGACGAAGTCCGTTGGATGAACTATTATTTTCTAGCATAGGCAACATGTACTGATACACCCATTCTTCATCCTTGGCATTGTAGGAAACAAAAGCATCATACTTATAAAGATCTTTGTCTGAATTCCATCGCTCGTGCAGCCAAGAAAGGAAAAGGAAGTAGTTGTATCGGATGCGCCAGTAAGACTTGTTGTAGACAATTGGTATGATCATGATGAGTAACACTAAAACAAAGCTACAGCAAAACAGTCTTAGTTTGAGAATAACATCACAGACTCGGGTGTCAAAATTATGAAAATAAGAATTTGGATCATTGGCACATGTCAAATTATAGACATTCACAATCTGTGGTGAAGACTTTATCAGCCAGTTTTGTAGCTCTGCATTATCACAGGTGCATGTCAGTGGGCACTTCCATAAATCAAGATACTGCAAGTTGGTCAAGTTTTGTAATAGGTCAATATGTATTGTCCTTAAAGCATTCTTGGCCAACTGGAGTCTTCTGAGACCAGTAAGGTTTAAAAAGACTTCCGAGTCCAATGTCTGTAGGCACATGTTTTCAAGGTCCAAAACCTGTAAATTGGTTAGGTTACTAAAAATTCCTGGTGGGAGATTTTGGATGCCATTGCAATCATCTCCCAAATTGAGGTACCTCAACTGGTTGAGTCCATGAAATGTATCAGGACTTAAATGTGTAAGCCGATTTTGTGACAAATAAAGAGCTTGAAGGGAGGTCAATCCTCTAAAGAAATTTCTGGGGACGACAGTTAGACCAAATGGTTGCTGAGCCTGAAGTTTCAGATCATAAACATTATGAAGTTCTGAAAAGGGAGAGGAATTCTGTCTTGATGATTCAAAACGCAGTTGATTGGCCATCAGATCGAGAACTTGTAATGTTACCGCTACATCCCTAAATGTCTCTTCTGTAATTGTTTTAATCTGGTTTCTGTCAAGGTATAATTTGGAAAGGCTTTTGAGACCATTAAATGCTCCGATTTTAACCTGCGTGATCTTGTTACCGCCAAGATCCAAGATAGTTAGGTTAGTTAGATAATAGAACACGTCCTTAAAAATAACTGACACTCGATTATTACGGAGATTGAGACTTGTAAGCTCTTTTAAACTTCTAAATGTGCTTTGGTATAGATCAGTTATTAAGTTATTATCCAAGCGCAGTGACTTAAGCTTTGTTAAGCCCCAAAATGTATTACTAGTCAAAAAAAGTATATTATTGATATTTAATTTCAGTTCTTCTAGATTAGGAGAAAAGGCAAATGCGTTGGCATCTACTGACCATATTCTGTTATATCTAAATGAGATTGACTTGAGATTTGGAAACTTAGGAGCGCCCGAGCAATTTATGAGTTGCTTCAGGAGATTATGTTCCACAATTAATGATTCCAGTCTAAGAGGTTCCAGGAACTTCAAACAAATCATGTTTTTAAGTCTATTCCTTGATAAATCCACGGTTTTACTCAGGCTGCAGCTTTCGAGAATATTTTCCGACAAGTACTGAATTTGGTTTCCAAGCAAGTTTAAGCTAGAAATGTTTCTGCCTCTTAAATGTTGGCATACTTGGCTTAATTTAGTGGGATTGCTTAAATTTAATCCAGAATAATCAATGTTCTCAGGCTTTATGGTGGAATTGTCCAAATATTTCAGTACATCAAAGTAATGATTATATGCCACTGATAGAAAATTAACCTTACTCAGGTTTATATTTTGCATGGAGGATGTGCTTATGTTATTGTATGAGAGGTCAAGATAAGAGGTGTTTTGAAATAATTCATGGTGGCATTCCAAATCCTGTAATTTGTTTTTGCAAAGGAAAATTGTGGATAAATTGCTGGGAAGTCTTTTAATATGATTTAAGAATCTGATGTTATTACTGCACAGCATAAGAATCTTTAGTTCCTGCAATGGTTGAATGGAGTCAACGACTTCTGAGAAATTGGACAATTGGTTTTCTGACAGGTTGAGACTTTTTAAACTAAAGAGTGGGACAAAGACATCAAGGTCTAAGAATGCAATTGAGTTCTGCTGAAGATAGAGGTTTGCTAAATGTTCAAGTCCTTCAAAGACCCCCCTGGACAGACTGTTTATGTTGTTATAGGACAAGTTCAAGTAATTCAAAACAGTCAAGTTACTGAAAGCTCCGGGTTTGAGGATGCTTAACTTGTTATTATCTAATTGGAGATACTTTAGGCGGGTTAGATTTCGAAAACTATCACGAGGCAGCTCGTTGATGGTGTTATATGATATAGTGAGATCCTGTGTATAGGGGGGTAGATCAAACACCAGTCTCCTTATGGTCAAGTTAAAACGATTTACACAAATGAAAGTATCATTACTCTCAAATCTTTGAATGCAGTTTCTATACCCACGTCCAGTCACAAGTGATATGAGAAATATTCCTAAAAGCAGTTGAAGCCAAAAACACTTCATTTTTTTTTCCTTTTTACGTGTCCAGGATTACCAGGAGGGATGATGGATCATCTTCTTGAGCCAACCACGTTTATATGTTAATGCTGGATGGTAGTAGAGGTTCTTGATCATATTTTAACCAAGAAAGAACATCTGATGATCCAAAGAAGGTGTAACAAGGTGATATCAAGACCCCAAAGTCAAGCAGATGATATGGAATCTATAAGAAAGAATTAGAGAAATTAAACCTTTTCCCTTGGTTTATACATCTGTCATAAATGCACAATTTAGACCTGAAAATTACTTAAAACCCACAAACATTATATATTTTCGGAAACAGAACCTATAGAATAAAAAGATGGTAGTTACATATTTTTCATATATATTTTTTTACAACGTAATTATGATATTATGAAAATTGTACACAGGCAGCACTGAAAACCTTTTCAGCTCACCAGGTAAGAGTTAACCATCAATAATGACTCTACAATTATTTCTGTGGCTGATACCTAATATATCTAATGGGGTATACATGTTTATGTATGTGCATGGGGCAGGAGTGTGTGTGCTTTTATTTATTTATTTTGTTTTTATGTATTTTATTAAACTTTTTCAATTATTTTTATTTATTATTATTATTATTATTATAATACAGGATTTATATAGCGCTAACAGTTTGCGCATCGCTTTACAATATAAGGAAGACATTACAATCACAATACAATTCAAGACAAGATATTTTTGTATTAACTGTAACAGTTTTACCATCATACATAGGCTGACAAGCCCCTATGTGATAGCCTAGTGCAGATAACAGGTTGCCTTTAGAAGACATCAGGCGTCTACTACACCCCTAATGTTTCCCCTACACAGCTTCAGAGCATTTGAGTACTGCCAATACTTGATTTGTTTTCATTTTTGGCATCTGTCTTCTGTGAACCCTAGGGAGCTCAGAGCAGAGCGCTTCTGGGTTTACGACAAAGTAGGAGGATCGATAAAGGGATGTTGGCTGATCCTACCTCTGCTCACCATACTGAATGCCTGGTTGTAACCCTCAGCATTACTCAGTCCAGCAATTCAATGTTAAAATGGTTACCCCCAAGGAACACTTGGTGAGAAAAGGTTTTACATAGGATTTACATAGAATTCTAAGCCCAAGTAATAATGCCAGGGAGGTTAATCCAAAAAAGCTTTGTAACATAAAAATAAAGGCTAGATCAATACTTGGTAGCATCAGCATTAATGTGTTGACTTGAATGTGCAGGGGATGTTAGGAGGAATCAGAAGACTCGCTATAGCTCAGAAAACATGAAACCATCTTTCCTATCTCATTTGCTGATCTGTACAGGTACATAGTAGCTTTAAATTTAAAGATGACCCCATGCAGCTTCCACCAGCATATGCCAGAATTAGCACAAGCGATGGAGCTTGTCAAAAGTGTGTCATCATTCAAGTGTGCTTAGGGCAGCATGACATCCACCTACAGGCCTGACAGCACAAAGAGATTATAAGATGAACTTGTTCAGTGTTGACTGAATGCGCTTGGTGTTCACACAATAAATGACTTTATTTGGATCTGTAATTCTGTCCAGCCACTTTTGTAACTCATACATCTCAGACAAACAGCATTATCTGGAGGACGACAACAATATAAAATCACATGTATGGGGGGGGCGTGGCCAAGCTATGGAGCAGTGAGGAGCACGTTGAGGAAGCTCCGGTCCTAACTAGCGATCAAACTTGATTTCCCTGCCAGCCTACGCGGCCACGGGGTCCGGACACATCCCTGGCCTTACGGCAACCGGAGGCAGCGGATCCACCGCATCTCCCACACTCCAGTGTATGCCGGATGGGGAGAGAGACGCCGACATCAGGTACCCTCTCCAGCTTGACCCTCCCCGATAACGTGGGGCCTATACCCGACCGCCGGGTGACATCCTCTCCAAGGAACGGAACACCAGCTGACGCCCAGTCACAGACCTCCTTGTCACCTGCCATACCGACCTCACCCCGATACGTGATCTCATTAGGCAGCGGGGACACTGGGGAATGCCCACAACGTGGGACCCCTCTACCCCCCCGCACCCAGACACGTGCTCCCATACCTGAGATCTGTCCCCCCCTGGGAACCATGGACTAGACCTCACCCCCACAGGGCCCTGTGGGAGAGGACTCGCTGGGCTCCTGGAGTTCAGACGTACCCCTAATCACATGTACAGTATGATGCAGATCTCCCATACCAGTAAACCTGGACTCTCTGTTTATTCTAAGTACCCCCTGGAACATTTTGTGCACCTCTTGATCCTTCTAGTAGAACAATTGAATAAGCACTTCCTTTAATTGGGTGACAATGCTCTCCATTCTGCAGTAAAAGCACTTCTATGTTGTCACTCTTGCTGCTACGTTAGATTGGGGATTGAACGATTATCAGATCTATTGATAATAAGGGCAGATATTTTTTGATTATTGGTATTGGTAAAATGTACTGATATTAGCAAAAATAAACACTGCGAATTTCACACAGTGAAATTCGCCCAGTGGGTGCCGCTGTCTGGCTAGCTAGCAGTGTAGTGTAAGTTGCTGTGTTCCTCCTCATGTGTAAACAAGAGAAGAACAAGAGGAAAGAAAACCACAGTAACTGTTACCAATGCAAAACAAAACTGTGAAGTGACTATGTGACCATAGAAGATGTAGATCCAAGCTTGAGGCTCCATTCACACATACGCACGTTCACCACTCTAAACATAGAAACAATGCACTTTAATGCATTTTTCAGACTTGTGCGGCGGCCAAGCACGGTTTTTTGACGGATTCCACACATTTGTGGAATTGTAATGGCCACAAACTAGCAGAATCTGTGCGGATGAAAGATCTTTAGCGTTTGAGTGCTGCACGGTCTTCCGCAAAGAGAATGTAAACGCTTTATGTGAAGGAAGCCTTAAGGCTTTGTAGAGCTTCAGATGCCTCCAGTCCTAGGGACACATCTCATCCGGTAGCCAGACTTCATTATTAGGCTTAACTGTGCCCAGCCCTTTATCTATGTGAAATGACCAATTCTCTCTGCCTTCCCTCTCCTTCTCCTTCCCTCTCCTTCTCCTTCCCTCTCCTTTTCTCTCCTTCTCCCTCTCTTCCTCTCACCTCCTCTCCCTCCCCTCTCTCTTTACCTCTCCTTTTTCATCTCTCTTTTTCTTCCTCTCTCTCTTTCCATCTACTTCTCCCTTTATTTTCCTCTCTTCCTCTCCCTCCCCTCTCTCTTTACCTCTCCTCCATCTCTCTCTCCCTCTCTCTCTCTTTCTCGCCCTCCCTCATTTTTCTCTCTTTCTCTCCCTTTCTCTATTCCCATCTCTCTCTCCCTTTCTCTCTCTTTCTCGCCCTCCCTCATTTTTCTCTCTTTCTCTCCCTTTCTCTATTCCCATCTCTCTCTCTTTCTCGCCCTCCCTCATTTTTCTCTCTTTCTCTATTCCCATCTCTCTCTCTTTCTCGCCCTCCCTCATTTTTCTCTCTTTCTCTCCCTTTCTCTATTCCCATCTCTCTCTCTTTCTCGCCCTCCCTCGTTTTTCTCTCTTTCTCTCCCTTTCTTTATTCCCATCTCTCTCCCTTTCTCTATTCCCATCTCTCTCTCTCTCTCTCACTCTCTCTCACTCTCACTCTCCCTTGCCCTCACTCCATTTTTCTCTCACACACTCCGTCCCTCTTTCTTTCTCTCTCTCTCCCTCTCTCCTCCTCTATCTCCCCCTCCGTCCCGCTTACTTTCTGTCTCTCCCTTGCACTCACTCCCTCTTTTTCTCTCGCTTCCCCTCCTGCTGCTGGGTGAAATGCCTGACTGCTGGCAGAACACTAAAAATATACAAGTGTTGTTTGTTTGTTCTAGGGAAACCACTAGAAGGGCAAATAATGTTTTGTTTGTTCTGGAAAAAAAGTGATATATGTGATGATGTATTACTCCCTTATCTTAAGTAATGATAATATTATCACCAAAACAATAGGCCCATAGCAGAAATGTAGAACCTGCTCTGGTCTATAAAGGGGTCTGGACTGGATAATAGAGGCTTGATTATTGTATAGTAGGAGGCAGGGACTGATGTCATTTAGAACTTTTGACTTCCTGGAGGTGGGGTTTAACCACTATAGTTCAGAATAATCCATCTCAGTCTTGTCATGCGAGGTGTTAGCAGGCCCGGATTTCATACAAGGCCACCGAGGCCCGGCCTCGGTGCGGCAGAGCGCAGAGGGGCGGCAGCGGTGACCTTGTGGGGAAGTTGCGGGCGCCGGTGTAAGGTGTCCGGCGGCCGCACACTATGGTCCGCCGCCGTCCAATCACGACGGGGCGGCCCGAGGCTCCGCCCACCAGCTACTCTCTTTCTCGCCCTCCCTCATTTTTCTCTCTTTCTCTCCCTTTCTCTATTCCCATCTCTCTCTCTTTCTCGCCCTCCCTCATTTTTCTCTCTTTCTCTATTCCCATCTCTCTCTCTTTCTCGCCCTCCCTCATTTTTCTCTCTTTCTCTCCCTTTCTCTATTCCCATCTCTCTCTCTTTCTCGCCCTCCCTCGTTTTTCTCTCTTTCTCTCCCTTTCTTTATTCCCATCTCTCTCCCTTTCTCTATTCCCATCTCTCTCTCTCTCTCTCACTCTCTCTCACTCTCACTCTCCCTTGCCCTCACTCCATTTTTCTCTCACACACTCCGTCCCTCTTTCTTTCTCTCTCTCTCCCTCTCTCCTCCTCTATCTCCCCCTCCGTCCCGCTTACTTTCTGTCTCTCCCTTGCACTCACTCCCTCTTTTTCTCTCGCTTCCCCTCCTGCTGCTGGGTGAAATGCCTGACTGCTGGCAGAACACTAAAAATATACAAGTGTTGTTTGTTTGTTCTAGGGAAACCACTAGAAGGGCAAATAATGTTTTGTTTGTTCTGGAAAAAAAGTGATATATGTGATGATGTATTACTCCCTTATCTTAAGTAATGATAATATTATCACCAAAACAATAGGCCCATAGCAGAAATGTAGAACCTGCTCTGGTCTATAAAGGGGTCTGGACTGGATAATAGAGGCTTGATTATTGTATAGTAGGAGGCAGGGACTGATGTCATTTAGAACTTTTGACTTCCTGGAGGTGGGGTTTAACCACTATAGTTCAGAATAATCCATCTCAGTCTTGTCATGCGAGGTGTTAGCAGGCCCGGATTTCATACAAGGCCACCGAGGCCCGGCCTCGGTGCGGCAGAGCGCAGAGGGGCGGCAGCGGTGAATCTGTCAGTAGTCCAAACTTATCGAGTTGTGGGACCGCATGACTTCCGTTTTCCTTAGAACTACGAGTTTTGGGCAAGAAATTTGTTGTGCTCGAACGGCATCCGCGGCATTGCCCGATACACATACACCAAAGCAATAAAGTAATAAAATGAAGTGGGATGACAGTAATCAAGCACGTTATTTATCTCCGGTGCCCCACTCAATATGGCCGCCGCTTGAGTGGGGCACCGGAGAGGTGTTAGCAGGGAATTTCCATCTCTCCTTAGGCTGTTTCGGTGAGTCCTCGAACAATCATTTTTCTAAACATTCCATCATACAGTCACAAAGCAAGAGGCTAAGGCTGAACTTTACAGACACTCATTGTATAGAAAAACACTTAAGTAGGAACTGCACATTTTCCCATGTTTTCTCTCTTTCAACATTTAGCAAAAGTACAGCAAAATGCCCATTGATCCTGCCAGAAACCCAGTGATCTTGTCACTTCCTGTAGTGAATTGGCAATGCTGCCTCTGCTGCAGTGAAATACTTGGTAGTGTTTCAATTCTGCCCAGTTATCCCCTGCTGGTCTACAGAACAACTCCTCCTCCCCTACTCTTAATAACAAAGAGGATATACTCTGTAGTCATAGTTACATAGCATTTGAGGTTAAAAAAAGACTCAGGTTCATCAAGATCAACCTTTGTGTGTCTGTATGTGAGTTGTGCGTGTGTATATGGATCCATGTGTGGTCTAGTATTTAAGAGTACCTGTACCCCTGTATGTTACAGTCTCTTATGAAGGTATCTAATTGATTTTTTAAAGAATCAATACTGTCTGCTGAAACCACTGCTTGTGGTAGAGAGTTCCAAAATGTAACCGCTCTGACTGAAAAGAAGCCCCTACACCCTTTGTGGATAAATCTTTTCTCCACCAATTTTAGGTGGTGGCCTCTAGTCCTTGTTAGGGAGTTTACAGTAAATGTTTAGTGCTGATGTTGCCATCAACACTAAACATTGTGTACATCAAAATCATGTCCCCTCTTAATCGCCTCACTTCCAGCGTGCACAAGTTTAAAGTTAGCAACCTTGTCTCATAGCTTTGGTCCTCCAGCCCCTTAATTAGTTTTGTTGCCCTTCTCTGGACTCTCTCTAGCTCAAGGACATCCTTTCTGTGGACTGGTGACCAAAACTGAACCGCATATACCAGATGAGGCCGAACCAGTGATCTGTAAAATGGCAAAATTATTGCTTTGTCTCTACAGTACATTTTCTTTTTAATACAAGCAGTACTCTGCTCGCTATGCTTGCCATAGTTTGGCATTGCGTGCCGTTATTCAATCTGTGTTCTACTATGTCCCCCAAATCTTTTTCCATTTAGTCCAGCAGGGGACAACTGGCCAGGAGCAGTACGTGAATAACCTTATCAGTGTTTGGTAATGTTTTAAAATATTATGTTTCTATACATAGTTTACATTCATATTTACCCATTACACATAGAGGCTCAGTCTGCTCTGCCTTGCTGGTCTTCCTATCTAAAGTCATGTCTTCAACACAAGGTCTCTCTGACTGAAAGCAATACAGTCTCCAGTCACAATACCCCTGTTGGCCATAGACATTGGATCTTTGCCTAGGCTTTAGTCACTTGAAGAGGTTCAGGAGCTGTGTTTGGGGCCACTGTCTTCAACCAGTACAGGCTCCAGCACAGTCTTCAGCATTCAACACATCCAACACATGTATGCAATATGCCACTATACACTAGTTAGTTCAGCTCAACTCA